AGTGGGCTGGCCATGTGTGGCGCCGATCCAGTACAACACTTGTCAAGAAGTCCGAATTAGTTCACGTGAAAGGATTGAAAAGGGCAACGGGTAGGCCCAAAAGGACGTGGTTATAAGTAGTCCGAAAAGATATGAGGACTTATGGCCTCATTGAGGGTATGACCTTTAATAGAGCAGAATGATGGATCAGGATTCATGTAGCCGATCCCAATTAATTGGAAAAGGCTATGATGATGACTATTTAGTATATTACTACATGCTATTAATAATATCTAGTACTATATAGTACTATATAATGTCTCATACTAAATTAATATAGTACTTTATAATACTATATATATATATATATATGTATTATATGCTATTATGACCATATACTATACTATGTAATATCAAAATATATAATTTATTATGCAAGAAAGAAGGGAGAGAGAGTCAAGGGGCGAGCCTTCACCAAGGTGCTAGGCACCCACCTAGGTAGGCAAGGCACCGCCTAGGCAGACAACTAGAAGTACCTCCGCCTAGGGTGCCTGCCTAGGGAACGCCTAGCTGTTCTGCCTAGGCCGCTAGGCATCGAATTTTCGAACATTTGCAGTTTCATACGCTAATCTCTCGCGAACTTTTTCAATACATCTCTATAATTATTACAAATGCCTCACAAAGCTAATGAGTAGAGAACCTTCTCCATTGGGCAAAGATAACGCAAAGTATCCATTAGAGAACTCCATTAGAGGCTACTCACTATGCTTCCCTATTTTTTCTTTTTATTTTTTTTTCTTATTTTTGGTCAACTTTGTTACTTTTTTATCTTTGTACTTTACCTGTGTTATTACTATTTTTAGTTTCTGGATTGTTTAGTATGTTGATTTGTTTATTAACTGCAACATTGTTTATTTCTTTATAGAAACAAAGATAACTAAAAAAATACAAAATGGTATATTATAATAATTGTTATTATATCTATAACAAAATGTTATTATATAGCGGAAGGAAATAAACTAGCAAATGTGATACTACTAAATAATTATGAATGCTGCTTCATTAATAATACAATAATTATATTTCATTATTCAAATTATTATTACATAATATTATTTTATTATAATTGTATTATTACAATTATATATTTCCTCCATTATTATTGATTGTAATAATTAAACATTCATAATTATAAAAATATAAAAAAGTATATCGGAAACATTAAGAACATAATTGCAGTATTCTAATGAATGCAATAATAATTATGAAACTAATTAGAATCCTAATTAAGTATTATGAATTTAACTATATATAAATTACTTGAATTTTATAAGGAATTAATTTGATTCGATTAGTTTATTATAATTCATAATGATGATAATACCAATAATTCTAAGAGAAAATAAATATTATTATGAATACTTATAATATAATTGTAACATTGATATGAATGTTGTATTAATTACAAAAATAAATATGTATTTAGAATATTATTGTTATATAAGTATAACTATGTGAACAGATTTTAATGATGTTAAAGTTATAATTATCGATATAATGTGTTGTGTGTTCATCATCATCAGAGCTTTTTCCTTATTAATTGGGGTCGGTTACACGAATTTTGGTCCGTCATTCTGCTCTATCAAGGGCCATGCCCTCAGTGAGGCCATAAAACCCCATATGTTTCCTCACTACTTCCAATCATGTCCTTTTGAGCTTAACCCTTGTTTTTTTTGAGCCTTCCATTTGAACCAACTCGTATCTCCTGACAGGTATAATTCACAATGTGGTAAAATAATAATATAATTCAGTATTTTATCTTTATCACAATTCAGAAGAGTGTAATGAGTCATTTATAATAGAAATAATAGTTATTTATTATAATTATGATAATTATATAGGGAAAAAGTTTATATAAGGTTGCAAGCTTATACTATTGAAGTAACGTACACCGAAAAAATCCTACAGAAGAGAATGTTCTGGCGTTCGAGAATTTTCCAATTAATCATCTGGAGCTTGAGATGTATGGATATGAAAGGAAAAAAAAAAGAATTCCAAGTCCAAAAAATAGTGCATCTTATAACAAGTTATCTAGACTGTCTATTTTCAAGATTTTCAGATGTTTATTGATCTTCTAAATCTGTACTATGTTTCAAATTTTAAATTTTATAACTAGGGCTGAAACTAGATTTGAAGCCATCATAAGGTTTTCGACAACGAAACATCTCTAGGCAGATTTTTAGAGGTCTTCTTACTTTTATAGTATAAGGTGAAAACTTTATACAAACCTCACACGTTATACAGTATTATAACAATGAAATTATATTTGAAGCCATCATAAGGTTTTCGACATCGCAACATCTCTAAGCAGGTTGTTAGAGGTGTTCTTACTTCTATAGTATAAGGACGCAACCTTATACGAACCTCGCACATTATATAGTATTATGAAAATGAAATTAAATATATTAACCTACAATATATATATATATATATATATATATATAGT